TGGAAGCACATAAAAATTTAATTTTTAGAAGGTCCCAATCATCTGGTTTCTGTTCTGCTGTTTGTGCATTTTGAATTATGCTTGATAGTCTATTTGTGCCATATATTAGGGCCCTTAAATTTGCCCCTAAATTTTTTCAGGATAGGTCTTGACATGTTCTTTTTGACAATGAATGTGATGCCATTCCTCTTTAATTTGTTGCTCCTAGCATATTGTCTGATTCAAAATGGCCAATACCAGTCCATTTCAGGTCACTAATGTCTAGAATTGGGGCCGACTCGATGGCAAATAACAACAACAACAATGTCTAGAATATTGGTCTTTAAGCATTCTATTTCATTTTTGACAACTTCTAATTTTCCTAGATGCATACTTTGTACATTCTGTGTTCCAATAATTAAAGGATGGTTGCAACTGTTTCTTCCCACTTTGAGTCATGCCTCATCAGCACACGAAGGTCCTGAAAACTTTATTCCATCCACGTCATTAATGTTGACTCTAGTTTGAGGAGGTAGATTTTCCCCAATCATATTCTGAGCACCTTCCACTCTGAAGGGCTCATCTTTTGGCACTATGCTGGGCATAGAGGAAAAGTTATAAACAATGAACAACTTCAGTCGTCTGTGTGTATGACTCTCCGTGCACCATCATAAGGGAGAAGGGAGGCACTGGAGATGTTTCCTCCATCAAGGAGTTCTGAGTCTACTGAAGGAGGCAGCTATGTCCAGTGATAACCATAATACACAGCATCATAAGTAAGGGCTGGGAGTGACAGAGGAAGTTGCGATCTTTTATAATGTGACTTACATATTGTCTGAGGAGCAAAATATTGACCTAAATGTTTGGCAGCAGGAAACTATGACACATCCATAAAATGTCATATTATGCGGCTACTAGGAGCTCTGGTAGCATAGTGGCTAAGACACTTGCCTGCTAACCAGAAGGCTGGCGGTTCAAACCCACCAGCCACTCCTCGGAAGGAAGGTTGGGCAATCCTACTTCCGTAGTGATACTGCCTCGGAAACCCAAGGAGGGGTCGCTATGAGTTGGGACCGACTTGACGGCACATAACAACAACAACAAGAGAGTATAAGGAGTCATCCCTGGGTGTTACAAACACCTGGCTGCTAACCAAAAGGTCACAGGTTGGAGTCCACATAGAGGTGACTTGGAAGAAATACCTGGCACTCTATTTTTGAAAAATCAGCCATAGAAAACCCTGCTCAGAGATACATGGGGTCACCATGAGTCAGGATCTACTAAACAACACTGGTTTGGTTAAAGGGTATAAAGTACATTTATATATAATAAAAATATCTCTAAGACATATTGTTAAAAAAAGAAGAGTGTAGGACAACGTATAATCTGATCTTGTTTGTGTGGAAAGGCATACACTTACACACACACACACACACACACACACACGTTTCTGTATTGTTAAAATGTTCCTGGTTGTGTCATAAGAAAACTGTGAAGAATGGTATATTTTGAGGAGTGAGACTGTTCCTTTCCATTTTGTATCATTTTTAACTATTTGCATTTTGAAAACAGTGTACATGTATTTTTTTATCATTATTAAAAAGATACCAGTTTATAGATACATTTTTAAAAGCTGTATAACTTTCTGTTTTCTGGTTTAGAACATCTATCTGCATGTCGTGGACTTACCTGATCCTAAGAAAATCTTGAAATTTGTTGAGAAATTCAAGTAGGAACATAAACTAAATGTTCTGGTAGTTCTGTAAAATATAAGTCGAGGATAACTCTCCTGCTTGTACATTTTTCATCTGTGAGGATGTAGACTGGTATATGTGTTTGCATGTCCATGTGGTACATCTTCACAAGAATCTTTTGTGATTAGACCTGTTCATGTATTCAAATTCATGTATTTGATTCTAGAAGGGACCCAATATGTTGGTTAGATTTGTGGGGAACTCTCCTACCTAGTGGCTGTCTACTAGGTAGGTATTTTGGGAAGGGTGAAGGGAGGCATTGGAGTTAAGTTTGTTCCATTTTTCATAAAATGACTCTTTGTATATCTATATTCCTGAGTTCTGTAGATTTGAGGGTTGGCATATTAAAATTAGAGGCTCAGGGGTGGGGGGGAAAGAAAGCCTAGTCTCAAAGAATGCCTGCTGCAGACAGCACAGCCTTTAGTGACACACTCAGCATGAAATACCACAGAGAGTCTTGGAGGACACAGGCGGGAAGATGTGTCTTTGCCCAATAAGCCCTTTCCAGGTATTGAAGTTGGAGTTAAGCTGCTTTGCTATCCCAGTAGTTTTATGTGCTTTAGAATGTCTGTTTGGGCAAATGTCTTGTGGTAGTTTGGTTTGTGTGTCAACTTGGCTGGGCCTGGTTGAGTGGTTGGGCAGCTGGTGGTAGTTAATCCCCATGAGGAGATTGGCAGTCAGCTCCATGGTGGGATCTACCATGAGCAGCTGGGTAGCCGCCTTTGGGTATGTGGTCTGCTTCCTGTATATAAGGAGAAGCTTTGAGAATGGTCTCTAGCCTTTGGCACACTTGGACCTTGCATGTAGCTGTGTTGTTGCTCAGCAGCCTGCTATGCTATGCCGACCTTGGGACTTACAGTGGACTTAAGTTATCACCTGCCGTGTGGATTGGTAACATTGGGACTGTGCCTTTTTATTTGTCAACCTTGGGGCTTCTCAGCCTCAGCAGCCAATGGCTGTGTGAGTGAAGAAATGCCTCTACCTCCAGTGAGCCTGGAGCAGGAGGCAGAGCTGGACCCCAAGGTTGAGGGGCTTTCACCCAGCCCCTAGAGCCTGGCACTTTGAACTTGGACTTAACACCTCCAAATTGTAAGAATAAACTCCTGTTTGCTAAGGCCATCCCATTTGTGGTGTATTCCTGTCAGAGCGGCACTAGGTAACCAGAATAAGTCTGATCTTGCAATGTCCAGTATGGCTATTAAGCACTTGAAATGTTGTTAGCTGTTGTTGAGTTGGCCCTCAATTGATGACAACCCATGTACAGTGGAACTAACTGCCACCTGTCCTGTGCCAGCCCCATGATCTGTTGAGGAGCGGACTGCTGTGCTCCATAGGGTTTCATTGGCTGATTTTCAGAAGTAAATTACCAGGCCTTTCTTCCTAGTCCATCGTACTCTGGGCACTCTGCTCACCTGTTCAGCATCACAGAGGTGCACCAGCCTCCACCCACACGTAGGTGGTGCTGCACCTGAAGTGCCTTGGCCAGGAATCAAACCTGCATCTCTTGCATGGAAGGTGAGAATTCTACCACTGATCCACCAGTGCCCTCATTACTCGAATGTAGCTAGTCCAAACTGAAATATACTGTAAGTGTAAAAATCATCAGATTTCTAAGATTAAGTATGAAAAAAATAATGTAAGCTCATTGATTTTTTTTTAATATTGATTACATGTTATGTTATTTTGGATATATTGGCTTAAATAAAATGCACTATTAAAATTCATTTTGCCTGTTTCGTTTTACTTTTTTAATATGGCTATAGAAAATTTAAAGTCACGTTATTCCTGCTGGACAGGGCTGGTCTAAACAAATTCCCAGAGCACTTTATTGTCCATGAGGTGGCCTGGTAAAGCTCTCTTAATTGGAGGTCTCTGCACAGGTTTACAGCTGGACTTCTGCCCAAGTTGTCTTTTCCTGGATGGGGTTTGGAGAGAAGAGATAGCAGAGTAGAACCATGGTTATTGGGGAAACAGCCATTGGGGCTGGAGGTGACGGAGGTGTAGGTCTTGGAACTAGGTTCTTTGGCCCTGTTTTTCTTTCTTTTGAAATGGGAACTGTAATTTCTAGATTAATAATGCAGGTTGCATGATCAATAAAAGACAACTCACAGAAGATAGACTTGAAAAAAACTTTGCAATCAATATTCTAGGTATATACAAGCCATTTTCTTGTTTTTAACAAAATGAACATAGAATACTCAAACCAAAGCAAACTGCTGTCAAGTTGATCCTGACTCCTAGTGACCCTATGAGACAGAATAGAACTGCCCTATAGGATTTCCAAGGCTGTAAGTCTTTGTGGAAATAGACTGCCTCATCTTTCTCCCACAGAGCAGCTGGTGTTTTTGAACCACTGATATTATGGTTAGCAGCCAAGTGCTTAATCACTGCACCACCATGGATCCCTTGACGTAGAATAGATGAGACTAAAGATGAGAGACTAACTTTACAAAAAATATTGACAAACTTTTTGAGTTCTTGGTCCTTAGCATTGCTGTATTCACTTTAAATTTATTCCTAATTGCCCTTGCTTTTCTTCATAGAGCACTGTCTTTTTACATGTTCCTTGTAATATGTGTAGTGCCAGAATACTAAATCTTGTTAAAGCATTTTTTCCTAGGAAGCTCAAGGCTCATTATAGACATTGTTTTGGAGAGGAGAGCAAGTTCATATCAGATGGAGAATCCAAATACAGAAAGTGCAGCCAAAGCTGTGGAAGCCACAACCCTTAGCCAAGAAGATGGACCAAGAGGGCACTTGGCTAGAACACAGGACACCTGGGTTCAGTTCCCGCTCTTCAGCAATGGGCTGCGTAATTTTATGCCAGGTGAGTGGTTCTCAAAGTGGAGTTCCTGGGCCAGCAACATTAGCCTCACTTGAGAACTTATTGTTGTTGTTATGTGCCATTGAGTCAGACCCAACTCATAGCCCCCCTCCTTTGGTTTCTGAGGCAGTATCACGATGGAAGTATATTGCCCAACCTTCTTTCTGAGGAGTGGCTGGTAGGTTTGAACCGCCAGCCTTCTGGTTAGCCATCAAATACCTTAGGCATTATGCTACCAGAGCTCCTGAAAGCTTATTAAAAATACATATTCTCAGGCCTTACCCCAGATCTACTGAATTAGACACTCTGGGAGTGGAGCCCTGCAATCTGTTTAACAAGCCCTCCAGATGATTCTGATGCATCCTAAAGTCTGAAGACCAATGTCTCAGCCTTTTAACCTCTTTGAATTTTCTCTTTCTTGAAACAAGGGGTCTGGAGTACATTATTGTTGTACCTTTTGGCTTGGAAATGCAATGCATCCAAGATTCTCTCCAGTACTGCTTCCTCATAGCAAGTCAAGCTTTTAAGAAGGCATTTTAATTAAGTTTTCTGCTATGTCACAAGATAGGTGGATAGGTGGCAAGGCTTTGGCTGTGGTGGTCACTGAGGAGTCAGACCACTGAATAACATATGAAGGTCAAAATAGCATTGCTGGCACTGATACGGCTAGTTAGAGGGCGGGCTTGGGCTCAGTGTGAGGGCCTATGGTTTCCTTATATTGAACCTGAGGATTAGACTCACCTACCTCTCACAGCCAGTGCTGGCTTGGACAGACAGACACTCTGTCCCTGGCTCTTCAGGAAGAAGAGGGAGAGAGGAGCAGAGTCAAGTATGCCCAGTTTATTGTTTGTAAATTTACTGAATTTACTACAGATGAGCACTCCACCTCCCCAGGGTAGAGGGGACAAGGCAGAGGCAGACAGCATCACTAATAGCGCTCTCTCCATGAGGAAGGAGATGTCAGAAGTGGGGAAGAAGCTTTTTTACAAATACCTGGAAGCTTGCTATGAAATGGTACTTGTTGAGTACAAAACAGATTCGTCTTTGCCTTTGTCCCAAGTGTGGTATCATTGCTGAAGGTACCAAAATGTTGGGGCATATGGCATTTTGGTTGTAACTCTGTTGCAGGGCAGAGACTCATAAAGTGGCTCATCTGGGCAGCTGCTCAGCAAGACCCGGTGCAAAAGGAAGATGCGGGCCCCTTGTTCACAATTTATTAAGAAGGTTAAGACAGCAACAGCAGAATGTTTAAATGTGGACTCTTCCTAGCATGGGGCCCCATCAACAACTCCTGCCCCCTCACCATCCACCATCCAGCAACATTGTACAGAGTATGGCACTAGTGAGCATTGTACCAAAAACAAACAAACAAACAAAAACAAATGCACTGCCATCGAGTTGGACCCGCTCATAGTGACCCCTTCATGACCACCGTATGAAGAAGTATTCCTGCCTACACATTACAGATGAGGAAATGCAGACTGAGAGAAGTTGTGGCCCAAGGTCACGTTGAAGAGCTGGAATATGAACCTAAGTCTCTATGCCGCCACTGCCCGTGTTCTTCGATGCCTAGCTCTTCCTTTCTCTTCCTATTTTTGTGATGTAGGGAGCACTGCAAGGGGAGAGGCCAGTCATGCCATAGGGAGGATAGACCAGGACTTCAGGTGCTTCTTAAAGGAAACAAAGGCTTTGGATGGAGATCAAGAAGAGGACAGTCCATGTAGTAGCAAACAGTTCAGGGATTCCTCAAAAAGTTAAACGTAGGATTACCACATGTCCTGGCAATTCCACTCCTAGATATATCTATATACCCAAGAGAACTGAAAGCAGGAACACAGATATATGCACACCAGTGTTCGTTGCAACACTATTCACAATAGCCAAAAGGTGAAACAAACTGTGTCCATCAAAATGTGGTACATATATATATATACAATAGAATATTACTCAGCCATAGAGACAAATGAAGTTCTGATACATGCTACGACATGGATGAACCTTGAAAACATTATGCTAAGTGAAATAAGTCATCCACAAAAGGACAAGTATTATATGATCACACTGACATGAAATACTAGAACAGACAAATGCATAAAAACCAAAATGTATTACTCCTTAGCAAGGGTGAGAGGTTAGGAAGCCCTGATGGTGCAGTGGTTAAGAGCTCTGCTGCTAATTGAAAGGATGGTGGTTCAAACCCACCAGCCGCTCCACAGGAAAAAGATGAGGCAGTTTGCTTCTGTAAAGATTACAGCCTTGGAAACCCTACGGGACAGTTCTACTCTGTTCTACAGAGTCTCTATGAGTTGTAATCAACTCAATGGCAACGGTTTTTTTTTTTTTTTAGGGGAGAGCTAGGCATGGGGATAAAGGACCTCTGGTGGTGTAGTGATTAAGGCATTTGACTGCTAACCAAATAGTCAGTGGTTCAAACCCACCAGCTGCTCCATGGAAGATGAGGCATTCTGCTTCCATAAAAATTTACAGCCTTGGAAACCCAATGGGGGTCACTATGAGTCAGAATCAAGTTGATGACAGTGAGTTTGGTTTTTTGGTTTTGGAGGGGTGGGAGGAGCAGGGAATGGGGAGGTATTGCTTAAAAGGCACTGAGCTTCTGTTAAGGGTGATGGAAAAAAATTGGTGAACATAATTAATGTCATTGAAGTAAACATGTAAAAATGCCTGAAATGGAAAATGTTTTGTTGTATGTATTTCACCACATAAATTTTTAACAAGAAGAGGACAATCTGGGGATGTCTGCATTAATTGAAAGTGTGGGCAGGGACAATAAACTGTAACAGAACTGCCTCTTTCATTATATGACCTGTTACATTGCAGCTGTGTATGCACCCAGCCTTATTCTGAGGACCTTGATATCTCTTCATTTTCATTTCCTATTTGGGTTAGAAACATTTTCTTGATCTCTCCAGCCTTCCTGAGAAGCACAGTCATTCCTGTTCTTTGATATTTATTCATCATCTCTAGAGTGAAAGACAGTACAATATACAAAGAGGCATGTCAGACGCAGAGGGGGCAGCTGACTGCGTCTTTGCGGGACAGATGAGGAGATACAGAGGTTAAAATATTGTCATTCTGAGGCAGGTCCAGAGCCAAATAAAAAACCCAGATCTCTGTCTGAGGCCTAGGAAATTGCTGGCTGCCTTTCTAATATGAAACATATTTTCCCAGCCAGATTATGTAATGTGGGATAGGTTGTTTTCTATTTTCTAAGATTCAGTTGGGCCTCTAGAAACATTTCCAGTGCCCCAGCCAGTATCAGTAGGTTCCTGACAGAGAGCAGTGCGACACCAATACTTGCAGACTTTCTCACCTTATCCTGAGGGTTTTGAACACCTGGCAGGTTAAATGCAAGATATCTTCTGAGCCTGTGCCAGCACACAGCCCTTTTTAGACATCACAGTACATTCATGGTATATTATTCATAGAATACAAATAGATGATTCATAATGTATGAATTAGATAAAGTTTGGATACAATTCTTGCCTTCTACGTGGGAGACCTGGGTTTGATTCCCCACCAGCATACCTCATGTGCAGCCACCAGCCCTCTGTCAGTGGGATCTTGCAAGCTGCTATGATGCTGAACAGGTTTCAGTAGAGCTTACAGACTAAGACAGACTAGGAAGAAAGGCCTGGCAATCTATTTCCATAACCCAGCCAATGAAAACTCTATGGATCACAATGGCTGATCTACAGCTAATTGTAGGGATGAGGCAGGACTGGGCAGTGTTTAATTCCATATTCATGGAGTCACAATGAGTTGGGGGCCAACTTGACGGCAGCTAACAACAACATCCATCTTCAGTGGGTGTAGAGTTGGGGATGGAGAGGTTTTCAGGGTACCCTCCTGAGGGACAGCATGATCTGCTCGGGTGGCCTTCTTGGGATATGAACCAGTAGAGGTGAAGTGATCTCGTGAGACAGATTCTGTTTGGTTGCTATTCTCACCTCTGGGTGTGGGGTCTTCTGGACTCATATCCATTTTGCCTGTTAGAATTCAGTGGCAGTAAGAGTCTGTGAGGAGTGAAGACAGATGGGCAGGACGGGGGCTGTGCTAAGTGCTCTGCTGGCAGCCTGCCACCGCCTAAGCGTTAGCAGATTAAAACTCTCACCCACATCTTAGCCGTTCTTACACCACAGGGCACAAGATGAAGACACTGATTCTCCCTTCTCTGGGACAGCTGCAGCATCAATTTAATTGAACGTAATAAACAGGCAGTGGTGCCTTGACTCTTTGGCAGAAGGTAGGGGAGTTCACTGTAAGTCGTTTTAGAAGGACACACATCAGCATACAGCAGTGCTCTGC